AAATTGGAAAGTTGTTTGTTGACAGACAACTTTTCTTGACTTAAGATGTGCTGTAAATTTCCTTTAAATGAATGATGGCCCCTTTCGCCAAATTTTGTGAGTCGGATGTCTTCCGTCGTGGAATTGAAATCTGGCTTGAAAGTGTCAACTGGAAACATGCTGCTCATGGTTGAGTTTGAGTCGAACTCGACTTGTTTTGAACTGGTTCTCGAACCTATCTGAAATTGGCCGAGTTAAGGAACCACCATCGTTCTTTAAAGGCGCTTACAAGTCGAGTCCAATATCCTTCGTTGTGAAGTTGAACCTTGACTTGAATATCTTTCGTCATGAAGTTGAAATTCAAGTATTGTATGTTGTTGGTGGACACAATTCCCTTCGCCGTGAAGTTGAAATCGTGGAGACCCCTTTATTGTGGAGTTTGGCTTCGAGCTAGATATCCTTCGTCGTGAAGTTAAAATCTACTCTCGAGCTAATTGTGTCATTTCGAGTCCAATTTTCTTCGCTGCGAAGTTGAAATAGACTCTGAATGAAATTGGAAAGTTGTTTGTTGACAGACAACTTTTCTTGACTTAAGATGTGCTGTAAATTTCCTTTAAATGAATGATGGCCCCTTTCGCCAAATTTTGTGAGTCGGATGTCTTCCGTCGTGGAATTGAAATCTGGCTTGAAAGTGTCAACTGGAAACATGCTGCTCATGGTTGAGTTTGAGTCGAACTCGACTTGTTTTGAACTGGTTCTCGAACCTATCTGAAATTGGCCGAGTTAAGGAACCACCATCGTTCTTTAAAGGCGCTTACAAGTCGAGTAGCCTTCATCCTGAAGTCGAAGCTTGACTCTAAAAGCTGCAAAAATTATGTATGCTAAAATGATGAATGTGATGCACCTAAGTATGTCTGAGATGCATGTAACATGAATGAGTTATGTTTTATCTCTTGGATTGAGTCTCGTGCTTTGTCTGCCAATCTGGTCCTTGGAATCGATCGTGCCCCATTCTCTTTTTCAGGCTTTGGCTTTACAGACCTTTCATACCTGAGACTGTCCTGTTTGAAAATGTTTTTCTCCTTTTTTCTTGTTTTAGGAGAGAAAATGATGGAAATTCTGTAAAATATTGTTCGTAATTGAATCAAATTGTAAACATGAGTTCAAAGTATATCAAAGGAAGCAATAGCTCTTTTATGATTTCAGAGTTACAGCTCTTTGACAAATGTTCAAAGGGATGAGTCGGCTTTAAGTTGGCCTCCTATTTTCTAAGGTTCTGGCAAAAAGAAAAAAATGTCATTTTTTTGGTCATTGTAACTGACTCTTTTCCTTGGCTTGGCTTTTTAATTGGATGCGGACAAAATGACGCAACTAGCATTATCGATTACTAGACCTTCTATTTCGGTTCTCCGAAATCTTCCATTTGTTCAAGTTTTGTAGGCTCATCTAACAAAGGTAGTGCAGAAATATCGGTCTAAAAATAAAATCCTTGAGTGCTCGTGTGAAGTTGACTATAACAGGTGTTCTTTAACTCCCTTAGTCCATTTTTACCGAAACTCCTTATTTAATATTGCCATTATCTGGCTAGCTAAATCCATAAAGCCGGGGCGTTTAACCAATTGCTCTAGAGGGACAGCCCAATATGTAAACACCTTTATCAGGTTAGCTGAATATTATCCATAAAGTCGGGGCGTTTAACCAATTGCTTTAGTGGGATAGCTTAATATCACTCTTATCAAGTTAACTGAAGGGTTCATCTCATCACAGAGTCTTCAGCCTGAAAAAAGCAGTGGAGCAAACACCGAATTGCCAAGTGTCCGAGCAACGTCATGGTTTGAACGTAATCTACTCATAAGGCCAGGGCTTTCAAGTTTCCTCTATAACCAATTGCCTTAGCGGAATAGCTCAGTTTTTACGGATTTAATTTCTTAAGATTGTCAAGAAGAACCTGTCATAGTCTAGGTGTTTTTGAAAGTCAAGGAATCTCATCTTTAGAGTTCAATTTTCAAGCAACTGGCCTAAACTAGATTCACCTAGTCGATTATTCCATCTGTGAAGATCGTGATCATCATTGAACGTCTTAAATAAAAAGCATAGTAATGTCATATGCAGAAGGATGCCCCATGTTGTCCGCACCATATGAAAGGAAAATGTTTTATTGATTAACTGCAAGAGCAGGGTACGGTGTTTGAGGGTATATTCTGGGTAAGGTCAAAAGTCATTGCTTTAAATCATGATACTTCGTCAAAGATCTGTAACTTTAAACCATTTACATAGTTTCTTAATTCAGATGATATTGAAAGAATTGCAAGTTTGCAAATGTGATTCATTGCTCGCCATCATTAAAGCAACATAAATTTATTCAAAAGTCCTTACAAAAACTTGAGAAATAATTAAAAAAACAGATTCAAACAGAATGCCTCAAATGATGAAATGATCTTCCTCACTTGGATGCCCCCAAGTTGTTGAAGTCGATCCGATTCTTGTTACGTATTTTCTGTATGATTCTCTTGATTGTGGAGTAATTCTCGATAGTGCGCCCTGAGACTCCGCTATGATTTTCGCAATGAGCGTTCTCATCATACTACCTGGGGTACGGGGCTTCATGGATTTCTCTGGATATGGTGACACCACGTGTGCATCAAACAACTGTTGGTAAAGCTCCTTATATGTCATAGGATCGAAATGTTCTCATTTTTGATGAGACATGTGAATGTAATAAAAAAGGGAATAATAATGCGAATGTAAAGAAAAATAACAAAATGCACAATATGTCTGAATGCATGATGCATGAAATGTTCGAGGCATTGATCCGAAAAATGTGCCTATTATTCTGAATAATCCTTATTGGGACAAAAATGTTACGTCTGAAGAGACAAAAAACTTTTTTGATGGTATAGATCCTGCACAGCCTCTAGAAAGTTGATTCGTCTTCCGCTTTTTCACCGGTTGAATATCCTGTCGAACCATTCCAGCTCCTTTGGCTAAACTTGTGCGGGTGACGAGTTACTTGCCCCAAAAAGGTCTCGAATGACTGTATCTCCGGCCTTCCCTCTAGGCCGAGCTCATTCCAAACGAAAGTGCCATTGGAGCCCTCCATCGAGAGAAACTATCCGAAGCTTGCTTCTTGAATTCGTCAGCAATGGAAAACAGCTCAGCTAGGGTTTCACCATCTTGTTATTGTAGTTTTCGAAAGGAGCGACCGGGTCAGTGACCTTTTCCTCGTATTGCCCCTGCAACTTTGGCAGTCAATTCTTCAAAGATAGACTTTCATTACTTGGTGTATACCCGGTTCTTCCTGAGTCTTTTATAATGCACCAGAGTGACCTACTCTTCAATTGTGGGGACCACATAGTCGCCTTGCAGATTGTCCTCTACATTTCCATCTCTTGTATTACAACCCCTTTGTCCATTAATGCAGATTATTCATGTTTAACAAACACGTTTTTGGTGGATCACACCTCTTTTAAATGATGCGAATGATGAGAACAAAATGAAAGAGAAAAAAAAAAGAGTTAGTGAGGTAAATCAAAACAATAATAAAAATGAAAAATCCTACTCCACATGATATCTACCCCATATACTTATTATTCCTACCCGGACTTGATTTCTATCCTGTATGCTAACTTCAAACAATTCCTAACCGCATATTTGTCTAGTTCGCATGTTTTGAACAGAAAATAAAGCCGGAAACAAAAACCTAGGGTTTGGAATGAGGTTTTGGGGTGGGCTCTAATTCCCTGCACTCTTCCGGTTTAGGTTCTAAAAAATGGTACCCGAGTTCTCCTTGTCGGTGCCCCCTTGGGCTTGCCAGACCCTTAGTCCTAAGCCCATTACAAGCTTGTGTGGACTAAGTTAAACTCGAGAGGAAACATTCCCTTATGCCCATACAGAGAATAAATTCACACGAAGACATAAGGTATATGAATCCCGAAGGCTAATTGCTAGGCCCGTACGGTGAATAAATTCACACGAAGGCGTCGCTTTCACCCCCACTTAAATAGGGTTTGGAGCTCGAGCATAGAGCCTGAGATAGAAACTTTTCAAAAATCTGAAATCATTGAAAAAAATGTTAGTACAACTATTTATTTGAAAAATAATCAAAGGTAAATAATTGGAATCGAATAAATAAATTAAAATTAAAATTTGTAATTTTCGCTAAAAAGACAACCGAAAAATTAATTCAGGCCTGACTCACTTACCTGTCCCCAGCGGAGTCGCCAAGCTGTCGGAACCGTCTTCTGGTTGGGCCCCAGAATTGGGCTTCAACTTAAAAAATGTGGGTTAGGAGTCGCCACCGACCATTTTAAAAACGTTTAGGTAGGTCGGACACCATCTTATCTGATCTACGTTTTACCAGAGATGTGTCGGGTTCGGGAGTCGGTTACGGTGAAGGAATGATTAGCACCCTTGAACCGCCCTTTCGGTACCAATTAATTTATCGGTTGAAATTTTTTGAATAATTTAAATTAAAATTTAAATACCCGATTCGAATTACTTACATTTGATTGATTAAAAAAATCTCCTAAAAAGTTAAAGATGTTAGATGAGAAATAATAAATAAATATAAAATAAATCAAATGAAAAAAAATTTAAAAAATTAAAATTAAAATAAATTAAAATTTTGGAAGTACTAAAATAAACGAAATGAATAAAAGAAATGAATACATAACATCTAAAGGATCATAAGGAGAATTTACCCAAGATTTAAAACCATTTTTGTTTCACGCCAAACAAATGCAATTACATCTCCAATACTTTTAGCCACCAACGCACATCATTCCACTCCACAGCGCGATGAGCCTCCACAAATCTGAGAACTCGTACACCGGCAATATGGGTTTGTGTGTTGGGCTTCGGGTTTAGGCCAGTGATGTGACTGTAATAAAATTTCATACGCAATAGCGCTTTCGGGCTACCAGTGCTTCTCTCCATTGTGGTGGACAGGATCGTCTGACACGTTGTGAAAACCCACTTGAATTGAACCAAATTGAACAAACAAAATTCGAGCATCCGGACAATCAGAGATGCTGCCGAATTGTCACAGGGGTTTCCTTTTGCCTCTTTGTTGGCGGTTCCGCCAAATCGTTAACCAACCCCGAACAAATACTCGAAGCCGATGACTCGAAAATAGGCAGTGACCCAACCGACCATGTTAGGAAAGCCGGTTTAGCCCTTTTGCTCCTCGCTTTAGATGGAATTGACAATAAAAAACATCGCGTTTTCACAAAAACCGGGCCAGGTTCCGCTTCAAACCAAGTATTTTCACTGTTCTCGGTTTGCTGCCTAAAAACCATGCATGGAAAAGGAAGCTCCGGCAATGAATCATCCACAAAGTGAGACACCCATTCAAGCCCTTCTATTTCATCATTCGGAACAGAAAGTTCGCTGGTAAAGATGGAATCGAGGGTAAAACTGCTTGAATTTGAATTACAATCATCGTCTGCTACACGTTCTTGATACGAACCAGGGGCGTAGTCTTTTTGTTCAACGGAATCTTCTTCAAACTCTCCGTTATTGAAATCAAGGGAACAGTCAACGAAGAAATCTTCGTTGGGAACGGCGCCGTCGTTGATAGCATTCATGACCAAGAAATCATCAAAAACAATATGTTGTTGGTTTTTTTTTTTTTTGTTTTGCATGGTTAGTTCTCCTCTTACACTCGATTTCAGTGCTCTCAGTTCCATGCAGTGTTCCATTATTCCTGGTAAAGATGGAGGGAAAAAATGGAGAATGAATGTAAGAGAGAAGACCAACTGATGGAAAGGTGAGCAAATGGCCTAGGCTTGTTCGTCTGGGTGTTGTTTTGCCTCTGGAAAATTAAGGGGCTTCAGCAGAACGTAGAAGATGGTGGCCTTTTTTTCTCCCACGAAAATGCCTCCCCCCTTTTACGTTTGTGCAGTTCCCCCTTTTAAGCAAAAAGAAATGGGATTTCTTAGTTAGTGGGTAGTGGCTGGCATGATGGAATAGAGTGGGTAGTTAATAATATTTTGTGGAATGGTGGGGGTTTGGCAAAAATCCTGCAAAAATAATAATAATAAAAATTAATAATAATAATAATAATATAATATAATATTTTTTGTAGACCCGGACGAAAATAAGTGTCTACAAGAAGAGAATTCGATCAAAAAAATTTGTAGAGTTTGATTTACTATAGATTGCATATTGTCGAAAAAGTATTATATATAATAATAATAATAATAAAATGGTAGCAAAATATGTAGGAAGGTGGGTAAGATCATGACCGTTGTTTCATTAAGTTGATATGTATTCATCGTGCTTAAACGTGGGTAATGAATAAAAGAAAGAGTTTTGATTGGCTCAAAGCCATAAGAAGTAAAAATAATAAAAATAATTAATTATGATTAAAAATAATAAGTATGTTATCAGAAAAAATGAAAAATAAAATAAAAAGGAAGAGGCAGTGGCAGTGGGTTCAGTTCCCGAGAAATAATTAAGGGACAATAATGGAGGAATCACAGCGACAAATCCTGCAATAATCCATTATTTATCCTTTATTTAAGGGGTTGAATTCAGTTAATCACTTCATTAATTACCAATAATGTTTCATTAATTAATCAATTATTTTTTAATGTATAATCAGTTTAAAATAATTAGTGTTAATAGGGGTTTAAACGAGCCGAATCGAGCTCGACTCGATTCGAAAACTCTGAAATGGAGCTGAATTCAACTTGAAAACTCGTGAGCTTATAATTTTCAAGCTCGAATCGAACTCGAAATCCTGAACTGAAGCTCGTGAGCAGCTTGAAAATACTCGAAATGAAGAAAAAAAATTCTTAAACTTAACTCGATTGAAGCCTCAAACTCAAACTCAACATGAACTTTAAATACATGAAAATATTATTGTATTTTAAAAAAAAATCAATACATAAATATTAATATTATTAATAATTTATTTTTCAGAAAATAAAATCTTAATATATTATATTTTCGAGTTGTTCACTAGCTTTTCGAGTCGAATATCAAGTAGCTCATTTAAACTCGTTAAGAACTCGAGTCGAGCTCGAGTCGAGTCCATTCGATCCGAGTATTTATCGAGCCTTGATCAAGTGGCTCTCGAGTAGCTTGTGATCTGTCTCGTCTTATTTACAGCCCTAAGTGTTAATATGTAATTTACGTTTGTGTTTTGTGTATTTTTAGGCGATTTTCCCCAAAAATCACCCTACACCTATATATTTCACTGTCAGGTACCGATCAGGCTATATTTTCTGATCTAACACTCTTTGTAGTAAAACGCGCCCCTGCAACGCGCTTTACGCTGATCTGGTGCCACGTAGGTTAAGGCGCCCCATGAAGCGCGTCTTGTTAAACGTGTAAAAAATTTGGGTGTTAATTTTGTAAATATTTTTAAATTGGTGCCTAATATGTAATTAATTTCTGTTAGAGTGATAAATGTGTAAAAACGCCAACTTTATCTATTTATTTTTTTGTGATATTATTTTTAACAACAGTTAATAACGTTTATTTACTTTTAAAATTAATTGTTTAAAAATATTAAAATAAACTTTTAATTACAATTGAGAGATAAAATTAATTATTATTCAATTTTTAAAAAATGAATAAAAATTCAATAAAAATCAATAAAAATATAATGTAAAGTTAAAAAATATCACATCTTTATATAAAATATTCTTTCTAATATTAATTTTAAAACAATATTAAATAAATATTAAATTTTATTTTATTAAAAATGAATAAAAATTATTAATTATTGTTAAAAAATAATAATTAATGAATAATAATTCATTTGATCCCTCAATTGTAATTAAAAATTTATTTTAGATAAGTTTATGATTATTAAACAGTCGTAGGTGTGGAAAGTTACAGGAATTGAATGAAAATTCGATCGTACAAAGTCAATAACTTAAAATTATCTAACTGTTGTCTAAATATCAACTCAATTGTACCACGAATAAATACCCGATCAAAGAGTTGATCTTTTCTGCTCAATCTTCACAAAAATTGTTTTGTCTCGTCATTAATTATTATTTTTTAACAACAATAAATAATATTTATTCATTTTTAATAAAATTAAAATTAAAATTTAATATTTATTTTATATTTTTTAAAATTAATATTAGAAAGAATATTTTAAATAAATAGGTGATATTTTTTAGCTTTACATTATATTTTTATTGAATTTTATTCATTTTTAATTCATTTTTATTACATTTTTCTTTATTTTTTTAAAAAATGAATAATAATTAATTTGATCTCTCAATTATAATTAAAAGTTTATTTTAATATTTTTAAACAATTAATTTTAAAAGTCAATAAAACTGTCTAAATATTAACTCAATTGTACCACGAATAAACATCCGATCAAAGAGTTGATCTGTTGAGTTAATCGATTGACGAATCGGCCAAGAGGGGGTGAATTGGCAATAAAATTTTGGTGGAAGCTTTTGCAGAAAATTGAAAGAAATTGCACAGCGATTTAGAGTGGTTCGACTTTCTCAACCAAAGTCTGAATCCACTACCTTAGCTATTCACACTAAGGATTTTCCACAAATTCACTAATTTGTCTTTTTTTGAGGACAAAGAGTAACCTTACAAACCCTCAAGAATTATACCCCAAATTCTTGAGAACACTCTCTCCCAAAGAGAACAATACAAATTTGCAAACTTACAAGGAAATCCTCACAAGGTAGATTGTTTGAACAATTCTAGAACAAAGAAAAGAACACTCAGGAATGAATACAATTGAGCACAATAAGTGTTCTTAAAAGCAAAATGAATATTGAATGAAAAATAGGTTTGAAATGCTCAAACTTGAGGTTTGATGCTTTCTCTTTGATTCTCTCTTGATTTTAGTTGCTTGATGTTTCTTGTTTTTGATCAATGGCTTCTAAGCTTGCTTAAATACACCTTGAATCACTTCTGAACGTTGGGGATCATTAATGAAGATAATATAGTCGTTTTAGTGTGAAATCAATTAATAAAACAGTTTGGAGCGTGGGGGGAATCGGTACCCCTTAAGTGGAATCGGTTCCCTAAGTATAAAATTCAAATATTTCGACGGTTACACAGGGGGAATCGTACCCCTGGGGGGAATCGGTTCCCTCCGAGCATATTGGAATTCTTGGAGCCAAACCATTCAGGGGGGAGTCGGTTCCCTCTGAGCAATCTGGAATTTTTAGCTTTGAGATGGTTCGAAATATTTTGTAAAATCGTTTTGAAATTATTTTAAGATTAAAACTTAATTTTACACTTGAGTAAGGATTAAAAATGACATTCGAAAGATTTGGAGTAATATTTTGATATTCGAATAATTATATCGAATATACTTAGAAAACCTTTTTGGAAAATCTTAAAATTCATTTAACTTAATTTGTTATATCGAAATATCAAAATGTTTTCAACATGATCTTTTATGCTCAATCTTCACAAAAACAGTTTTGTCTCGTCATTAATTATATTTTTAACATCAGTTAATAATATTTATTCATTTTTAATAAAATTAAAATTTAATATTTATTTTTATATTTTTTAAAATTAATATTAGAAAGAATATTTTAAATAAAGAGGTGATATTTTTAGTTTTACATTATATTTTTATTAAATTTTATTCATTTTTAATTCATTTTTATTGCATTTTTCTTTATTTTTAAAAAAATGAATAATAATTCATTTGATCTCTCAATTGTAATTAAAAGTTTATTTTAATATTTTTAAATAATTAATTTTAAAAGTCAATAAACATTATTAACTGTTGTTAAAAATAATATCACAAAAAAATAAATAGATAAAATTGGCGTTTTACACAAATATTACCCTAATAAAAATTAATTACATATTAGGCATCACTTTAAAAAATATTTACAAAATTAGCATCCGAATTTTTTACACGTTTAATAAGGTGCGTTGCAGGGGACGCGCCTTACCCCACGTGGCGTAAAGCGCGGTGCATGGGCACGTTTTACTGTAAAGGGTGTTAGATCGATAAATATAGCATGAACGGTGTCTGACATGGAAATATATAAGTGTAGGGTGATTTTTGGGAAAAATCGCCCTATTTTTACCCATCGAATTCAAGAAAAAATATATATGATCATTTTTGTTTTATTTAGTTAAGATACGATCCCATGTCACTATTCGATTGGAAGGTTTAAGTTTATAAATCTTTATTAAATTTATAATATAGGATATGAATTTTAATTTTATAGAAAAAAAAAAAAAAACTCGATTACTTACAAACAAAATTACAGACCGCAGACCGAGTCAGTTGGCCCGGTTTATTCCTCACTAATCCCCATGCTTTGGTTAAATGCCCATCCCCCACCTACTGTTAAGGTAAAAATGAATAAGGTTTGCTTAAAGCAACCTCTACTCTTTTATAGTATAAACAAAAAAATCAAATCGTTTTATCCATTTAACGTGAAAAAAGTATTTAAAATTAATGTAATCAATTTTTATTTGATATAATAATGTTAAGCATTTGATAAAATAAGTACTTTAATTTTTTATTTTTTTAATTATTTTGATCTATGACATTTTACTTTGAAGTTAAATGTCACTATGTAAGATTTGCGGAAACTCGAATTGACAACTGAAAAAGTTGCAAAATAGTGAATTGACAATAATTTGTTTAGGGAGTAAGAAGACTAAAAGATAGAGAAATTTGGCACAGAGATTTATAATGATTCGACTTATCAACCGAATCTATTTCCCCTACCTA